TTACGCTACGTCCGCACCTACACGGGTAATTTTGAAAACGCAGCTGTTTCGTCCACACGTAAACGGCGTTTCGAATCACCGAAAACTGAGATTTTTTTTTAAAACTCCTTTTTTGCGTTTAGGTGTGGACGAGGACTACAGAGTTCGTCATGCAACGTCAAAGGTATGCGCCTTTTTCACGTCACACTGTGCGCCACGTTATTGTTTACATGAGATGAATTGCAGAATGGCAGATAGAGACGAAATACTGTTAATCTGACTATCTTCAGTTTTTACACGCTTACATACACACACAGTTACTGTCCCTCCATTTAGAAAGGCAGAGGCATCATGGTGTGATTATTTTACGTGTAGTTGTTTTTTTCCTGTGTAATAATATTCAACATTGCTCTCTGTGCAAAATGGGTTTAAAGTCATTATGAGAAGTGTTTGTGAACTAAAAATCAAGAATGTGGGATACTGTTTGTCCGTGATTTGAAGAGCCCAGCGGTGCTCCCGACGAAGGGAAAACCAATTATGCAGGGGAGACCAACCTCGGCACTTGTGCAGGTGAAACCAAAGGGCAGATATGCTTCACCATATTTTCTAGTCTTTGGCTTAGAATGAAGTTGGTTTGGAAACATATTCAGCGATGCTTCATCTCCTGCTTTACGTTTGTGTGGGAACCCCGTGCTAGCGGTGTCCAAGCCCCCCCTTCTTACCCCCCTGCAATGGCTCTGCGCCCCCCTAGGGGCGGGCCCCACACTTTGGGAAGGTCTGCCATATGACAAGGCTGATTTCTCCAGCAAGGCTTTCCCTGGAGGGAGATCCAAGTTCTGCATAATTTTCCTTTTGAAATTCCTTTTTTAGGCAACCAACAACCCCAGTGACCACCAGTTTACTCTCCAAGAAGACTAAAGAAACCAACTACAATTAAAAACTGTAAACTCGAACTAGAAAGCAGCTTACAACTACCTCTTAACAATCTTACCAAAACATATACAAGTGATTACTGTCAACAGATCATATTAATAACTCAATAAGTCATCGACTGCAACTGGGTTTCGAATCCTAGACACGAGTCGTCAGTCACTGTTTATTTTACTAAAACTAACTGTTATTTGAATAGAACTTTGGTTACAAGTCTAAAATATACAGATTTGCTAAGATAAACGTTAATGTACCAATAACTAGTTTCTGTGTGTCCAATGCAGCGTCAATCAGAACCTGTTGATGCTAGTGCTGTCTTTCCCCTCTCTTGTTAAAAACACATTTGTCTGAACACATGTCAGGGTGCCAGATGTCAGCTGTGAAACTACCCATGGCAACATTATCCGAGCGTCATGTTGACACATCTCTCTTTGCTGCATGCCTCTCAAAGTTTAGTTAAGAATTTATGTGATTGTTTAGCTTAATTGATCATACTGAATTACAATCTTCCATCCCCTAAAATGCGAAGCAGTAATTTTGCCAGCATCTGAGTGCTACCTCTCCTTTCAAATACCAATGGACAAAGATTACAGGAAGCTTATGATTTAGGAATTCACCTGCGCATGTGGTATACAGTTATTCACACTGTACAAATAAAGTAAGATAAAATAAAATAAAACTGAAAACGAGCTGAGACCACAGGTGACCACAGTGATAAGAGTTATGGCAGGCAGACCCTGTGACAGGACTCAAACTTAACAGAATCACATATTATTATTATTGTTATATATTATTTTACTGTCTTAACAGCATTTATAAATTGCAACATGACCACAGACATCATTACAGTTTTTTCCCCCTCCAGGTCTAACAAAACTGTTTATAGTGCTGTGGGAGGATTTTCTTTACAGGTTAATGGAAAACTTAGCTTGCCAACTTATCGGTCAATAAAAACAATGTGTATCAAAAAATAATAATCTGGTTTCAAAAGACTATATTTTTCAAAGTAACAGACACAAAAGCTTGCAGTAAGTTGTAAAAAATATGGCTAAATATACAGTTTTACATACAAAACTTTCAATTTTCACATGTTTTCCAAGCACATCTGGCATCACTGCAGCCACTGCTACCTACCAGCAACCACGTGAAACTCACAAATCCCCTCTTTCTCAACAGTACGTGTTTCAAAGACTAACCCGTGAACACCTACTGATTTAAAGCACTTTGAAATTGTTTTATACTTTTTGATACACCCTGTATCTAAATAAATAAATCGATCATTCCTTTACCACTGTTAAAGTTGTCTTCATATGCCCTGCTTTGCCTGACAAATATTAAATTCCCTAAAATTCAGTTATATTCATTCACAGCCAAAGATGACATTTTGAATGAAAGTCTGTACAAATCACTAAACACACAAGTTGCATGCAATTCTATAATTGCACTGAAATCCAAAATAGACCCATTACTGGGGCTAGATATTAGTCCAGCTGTGATAATGGAATAATAAAAAATAAAAAGCCAAGAATTGGCAACACAAATGCAGCAGAACAAAGGTCAAGCTAATACAGTATCACTTCGTGTGACACAAAGCAACTCACAATAGGACAAAAGTCAGCACGTATATTAGGAGGGGCTTATCTCCAAGTTCACAGCAACATATTGGCTTGATTTAGGAAATTATGAACACACGGTTAACAGGCAGTAGGATGCCACAAGGACCTTAAGGGCAATATACAAAAAGTCTGTCACCAAGTGAGACAACAAAAAGAAAGCAAGTATGCAGGAGAAAGGCTTGATTCTGAATCATGTGACGTGACCAGCACGTCTGTGCCACACACCTGTTGCTGGAGCTGCAGTTTACAATGCGCTCAGGCTGAGTTCTCCTTTTAGGAAACGCCCATCGCACAAATAGTGCCAAGTGAGTGTGAGAAAACTTCCACCCAGTTATCCTTGTATAAACATCCACATACTTGCTTACATGCTTGTGTGAATCCCAGCAGTCATTCTTTCACTCTGTTCAGTGAAAGCTATACAAAAATATTTTCCTTTTTTCTCTTTTTTTTCCCCCCCCCTTTCTTCAGTAGTCTAGTATGTCTCCTCTTTTAAACTAGACAAAAAGCATACAGGCATCTAACAACAGCGCTGGAAAGCAGGTTTGCCTCTGAATAGGACTGCATTCCTTTAACCAGTAGTGGGCTGTCACATACACGTCATACAAGAAATCCACACCCCTTATCTAATACAGCCTGAAAATTTAAATCGGGTCAGCTCAGGAGGACATCTTTACTTTCTCACAAGGACGAACAGTTTAATCTGCCTCGATCCACCACACACTGAAATACCTGAACAATTTTCTTTCTGTGCAAACTACAAAGTCAACAATTTCTATGCCCTGGAGATTAAATGCTGTTCAGGCTTGCAAAGAGGGATACTTTCAAAGCGGTTTACACACAACACATGCATACATGGATGGGGGGGGGGGTTTGAAAAAAAAAAACCCACAATAAGTTAAAGAAATACACTTTTTGCATATTCCTCTGGTCATACTTCAGATGTATGATTACAAGATGCATGCAGACATACATGCACAGCAGCACACATACACAGGAAAAAAAAACAACAAACCACATTTCTGTCTGTTACATCTTCTCCAGAATTTGCATATGACTACTGTGAGATCTGACAGACTCCCATCTCATCCCATTTCCATATAAGCAGTGAAGCCACAGTCAAACCTGCAGCTGGACAGCATGTCATGTTAAATCTCGTATTGGTGATGTGACAAGCCCTGTGCACCATCAGGTGGGGAGAGGGATGCAACAGAAACTGCTCAACTGGTTCCACGGGATGCGCTCCTGCAGCATTACTGAGAGAACAGTTGACAGACATTGAAATGGCACAAGCTGTGTTGTCTGTATAGTCCAGAATCAGTCATGCAAGAGGGGCCCTTAAAAAGGAGAGTGCTGCACTCCTTCAACACAGGCACAACAATGCAACACACAAGCAGACCCACCACACACACACACACACACTGCATTAATGCCTAAAACTGTATTCCAGATTAAGTTCCTTCCTCCACCAACATGCGACTGGTGCATGTGTGAATCCATGGCAATTTTACTCTTTTAAAGCAAAGCCAAAATACACTACAAAAAAAAACCTCCAGATTTATCCTCTTAGTGTAGTGCACAATCTGTGCTCGTGTCATGTGACCATGTGTCCATGGGCAACTTTGACACTGACTTAAACTGCTACAAAGTTACAGTTACAAAGCGCTGATTCTGACTGCTGTAACCAAGTCCACGAGTAGTACCGTCAAACACAGGAGAAACATTAGTTCAGGAAAAAAAGAAATGAAAACCAGCAACAACAAAACAAAAAAGTGGTCTATGCTCCCTAGAGAAAGGGGGGGAATCGCCAACTTACCTAATGTGTCAAGTAGTAATGAGGCTTGGATAGTACAACAACAAACAACAACAGCCCGCTCAAGCACATGGTGATGGGAACTGTCCTGACTCACGTTTTCTGACAACAACGTTAAAAAAAAGAAGGAAAACATAAAAAAAGGGACTCCAGCCTGTGCGGCTACATCGTTAGCATGCTAACTGGGCTCCTGCTTACCCTGGCGAACTTCGTCCGGTGTTGTAGGCACGGTCTCTAGCTCACTCAGCACAAAAAAAAACATACACACACACACACACACACACAATGACACATGAAAGTGTTGTGCACTTCGCATTTTCACTTTTTGCCCATTTCACATGCGGCCACCGCCGAATAAAAAGCGGAGCGCGTACGCTGCAGTAACTCCCCGCTTCAAGGCTCGCTTTTTGCCCGTGTCGTCTAATTAAGTTTGCTGCAGAAAACACCACCGATACAGGCGGCGAGCTTAGCCAAGCAGCTAGCGCTTGCTAATTTAAGCTAACGCCGAAGCGAGAGCCTGTGCCAGACAGACAAGACACAACCGAGATTTGAAGAGCCTCTCGCTCCTGCTCAGCGGATTTCACACACAAAAAAAACATAGAAAAAAAAAACAAAAACACCAAGCCGCGTCTCGACAAGGAGCACAAAAGCGTGTGGCTACTTACGATTTAACACTTTTGGCCGTGTCCTCGCTGTTAAATTCCGCTTATCCGAAGCAGCTCTGACCTTCGCGATAGTGAAACAACATTTCTGCTGGCTAACTGTGCCGCCATGTTACTCCTGCTCTGCAAACCAATGCCGAGTGTTTATCTGGCTGGTAGCGATCCTATCCTCCCCCCACACACACGCCACACCACATCACGGGGGCTCCACAGCGCTATGAGCTCGGTTACGACCGGGGGACTCGTGAGCAGTCCTACGGCGATTTACCTGTCACGATGACCCGGCCACTTGCAGTTTGATTGATCGGCGTCGGATTTGGCAACATTTTATCTGACAAGCAGTTACTTTGACGCGCCACTGTGCCACGTCAGTGTCAATAATATTTCAAAAATGTGTTGTACTTTTATGCGCGGATCGAGCAACTCCCCAACTCCAGGTTCACACAGGAAACAAGTGCATTTTTATGTATATATTTAGAAAATATCCCCAGAGCTGTGGTGAAATGGCTCGTCAAGATGTGTGTACATGTAAGGTCATAAAGATTTATGTGTGCCTATAAATGATGTGTGTAAGCGCTGTGCCTTGAATAAAACGCCTGGTGAAAGCAGTGTTGGGCTTCAATCCAACCACAGCACTAAAAGTGCAATTTCGGTCTGTCCTGGTTAACCCTAGTTTAAAAATCGCTATTACACTCGTCAGATACAGTAAATGCATGAGGGAAATGTACAGCAAGGCCATGATTATTCACCACACTATTCCACTTTGGTGGCTATTTAACGAAAGGGACCTTTAAAAACACTAAAGGGGCTTTAAAAACCTAGGAAATGTGACAAGGCGTTTCCAGCTTATCTGGCTACCTTGATTTACTGTCTGGTCAACTATCTGTGGATCAAATGAGCAAGCAGGCGTTTTCTTTACATTTAAAAGTTGTACAACATCACCTCCCAGTGGTGCAAAGCTGAAAAATTAGGCTTAGAATGGAAATCCTTCGGAGACCTTTAACCCTATTTGAAATACATGGAAATTGAAAATTACAACCTTAGAATTTTTACCTTGTGTGACTTGCAAACCTTTTCATTCTTATGTTGCAAATCAAGTTCAATGAAGTTAACATATAGAGGGCTGTTGTGGCTCAGGAGGTTAGAGCAGATCATGTACTGACTGCAAGGTTGGTGGTTTGAACCCTGGCTGCTCCACTCGCTTTCATCGGAATGTGAATGTTACACAGAAAGCACACTGAAGTCGATTTTTTTTTTTTTTTGGAGTACGAAACAACTGCTTTGTGGTACTTGGTGAAGCTGCTGTAATTCTGTAATAATGTCAAAAAAGAAACTTTGGCTAAACATCTTCAAAGATATGGCATGTGATGTATATATAAAACAAAACAAAAGACATTGTAATTACTATGGTATAACTATGGTGCCCTTACTATTTTTCCTAGATTTTTCTTATTACAATTTATTAAATATTATATTTTATTTTAAAAAAATCAGACCTTTACCACCCGTTTGATTATGTTAATAATAATAATAATAATAATCATCATCATCATCATCATCATCATCATCATCATCATCATCATCATCACTTTATTTATGAAGCACTTGTAAAGTGCTGAACAGCTATTTGAAGATAAAAAATATATATAAATAAATAAAAACTATACAGAAAAAAATACAACTTAAAAACTGGTAACATAAATATTTCAGAACCAAGAGAAGCGAGAGATGGCATGCCATGATACCCAGCGCCGTCTTCCACTCTCTCAAATGTCCTTGATATAGTCAGACATAGTCAGACATCGTTAGCATATTTACTCAATCATATATATAAAAAATAATCGTCATTTTATGTGTTAATAACAACAGCTGCAATGCTTTCAACAAAGGATATGAATGGTTGCCAGGTAACCTAGACTTTCCCAGCAGCTCTTCTGATGATGTACCTGATCTTTTCTTTCTAGATGAATATAACATGTAACCCCTCTAATCTACTAGCCAGATGTTGGGCGCAGAGAATCCTTCCACCTCGAAAGAATGCACACTCTCGCCAACAGAGAAGATACAACAATCATGTTCACATCATGCTCACTAACAGAGATATTTAATGAGACCAACCCTGAGCAGTGAAATCAATAGAAATAGATTTACTGTTTATCTGCGTAATTTAGAAGACGTCCCAAAAGTGTGTGT